TCCCCTCTTGCCGTGCGTTGGAACAGAGACCTAAAGACGGATTTATCTGAGTCGGATTGGGACCGCATATTTAGGTACTCCCACACCTGCTCGAGTAATGTTTCGACGCAGGAAAATGGCTACAAATTGGCCACTAGATGGTATCGTACTCCCTCCAGACTTCATCGGTTTAACTCATCTGTCCCTGACGTGTGCTGGAGATGTGGGACACCTGATGGCTCTTTCTTACATATTTGGTGGTCCTGTCCACTTATTCATCCATTCTGGCAGGAGGTTCACCGGTTGGTGACTTCAGTGACCACTCTGCCCATAGTTTTCTCTCCCTGCTCAGCTATTGCTTCATCATACCCCCATTCCTAGGAGTCAATATATTCAAGTCCCTAGCTATGCATATGATCAACGCAGCCAGACTCTGTCTTCCTGTGCTGTGGGGCTCCACTCACCCCCCAACTATACGCGATTGGCTCAATCGAGTAGGCAGAGTGGCGGAAATGGAGGAACTGATTGCGACTGCACTTGACATGCCAACTAAATACTCACATGTTTGGGCCTGCTGGACCCACTTTGTAACTACCCCTGAATTCAGATCTCTCATGGGTCGGGATACCTGATTGAGCTCAGCCATACCTCTGGTTATGCCCTTGGTTCGTTCATAATCTGCGTGGTTATGACCTCCTTTCCGATAATTTATATTTGCCTGCTTAGCTTTGGTGAGTGTTTAAGTTCTTGACACTCTCATTTATGATTTCCAATAGCTATATTGACACAAAAACTTCGCAGCCCAGACCTTTCGCTTCCCTTGCTTCGCCCCCCCCCCTTTTTTTTTTTTTTTTTTTTTTTTCTTGCCTCTATCCCCCCTTCTCCCTCTCCCCCCCCCCCCCCCCCCCCTTTTCCCCCCCCCCCCCCCCCCCTCTTTTTTTTTTTTTTTTTTTTCTTTTTTTTTCTTTTTCTCTTTCTTCCTCTTTCTCTCCTCTCTCTCTACTATGACTCCCATTCTTTTCCTTTTCTTGTCCTTTTCTTTCTATTCTTTTTTTTCTTTCTTTCTTTCTTTCTCGACAAGCTCTCAGTCTTCGATCAGGCTTAGTCTTCGTCTCATTCAGGAATACTTGGTATATGGTTAGCTTATCTCCTCTAGGGTAGTCAATGGTACTCACGACATCTTCTCTTATACTGCGATGCTCAATTAGCCTTATGATAGCGTACTGCTTTTGGTTTAGACTCCGAAGGTTCATTTCCTCCATGCTTAGGCCAGTACGCCAATACTCAATTGTTGGAAGTAAGCTGTGATTACCTTCTATATTGTACATTTGTGTAACTTGAGTACTACAGGCCTATCTCTGCCGTACCTTGACATGCTTATGTTTTTCACAGTGTCGCACTCTACCATGTTGTTTCGTCTTGTATTTTGGTTTAAGCTGTGTCTATGGCCTGATTGATGCTGTGTGTGCATTTCTTTATATTTTCCTGTAACATGTTGTCACTTCTAAATAAACTTTTATGGAATAAAAAAAAAAAGGAGACAAACAATTATGTAATAATAAAATTATGTCATATGATCACTATCCTTAAATAAAAGAAAGTTTTTTGTATCTCAATGTTACTTATTGAAAAAAGATTTTTTAGAAATTAACAGAGACAACGGTTGAACAAAAGTCACAACATAATAAGTAGTCTCAGAGCGATAAAGTGAACATGGGTTGAACAGAAAACGTTTGAGGCAATGCTTAATCTATGCCCAAAAGGAGAGTAAATCACTTATAGTAATGCAAATCAGGTGATTGAAGACCGGAGCACCCTAGTGTGAAGAAGGCAAACCCAATCTAAAAAAATCCGTAGCAATAACATGTCGAAATGTACTATAGAGGACTAACACAGTGGTGGGATTGGGAAAAGGGATGGGAATCATGAGGGAAGCCAGACATATGAGACATAGGATAAAGGGAAAAACCACTGGTCACTAGTTTGAGACTACAGACAAAGTCATTGTCATCTAAGGCATTAGGAGCATCGTAAAACCACAAAGTTGTGACCAATCACATATAGTAGAAAAAGAAAGAAAGGGAAGAGTAGAGGTAATAGAGTAACAGATGAGGAAGGACAGAGGGTCAAACCAGGGCTCATCAAGGAATGGAAATATACCGAATCTGTGGGTTCCATAGGAAATCAAACTTTTTAGTATTGTTACAGAGGATACAGGTGAGTCTGCCGTTAAACATAATCCAGCTGAGTTTATTCTTGACATAGTCAAGTGGAATTACTGACTTTTTCCAATACTCGGCTATGGTAATTCTAGCCACCAACAACATATAAGTTATTAATTTTTGTGATTTTCTGGGGACTCAGGAAATTTATGAAAAAAAGGTTGTCTCCGGGGATCTATGAATGTTCACATCCATCACTGAATTGATTAAATTAAACAGGCGGATCCAAAATCTAGTCGCCATCGGATACTGGCACCAGATGTGGTACATAATCCCCATCTGGCTGCAATGCCGGAAAGAATGTGGTAAAACAGAGGAGTGCATTTTTGCGATTCAAGTAAGGACCAAATACCACCGTAGTAATGTTTTATAGTTCACTTCAATTAAGGTAGGGTTGATGGATACTTTAGATAATATGAAGGCAACATCTTGCCAATCAGATAGGTCAAAAGTGACATTCAGGTCCCATTCCCACCCACTGGATCATATAAGGGTCAGTGAAGATCAGTGAAGAGAGTGTTTAGTGCAGAGACCTGACCCCTCATGATACCCCTTGTTTGGCATGAGAGTTCAAAAGCTGTAAGCATAAGTGGCCCATCTAACAATTTGAGCTTAGAGCGGATAAAAGAGACATTCTGATTATACCTAAAGTTCTTGTTAGAGGGCATATGTAGTGTAACTCTAAAGTGCTGCAGAGAACAGATACGATCCCCATTGAGGTAGTCTCCTATCCCTAACAGCCCTTTATTGATTCACCATTTAAATGATGCAGGTACCAAGCCAGGTAAAACTCCGGGTTGCAAAAGACAGGAGCCAAAGTGTATGCGGGGAATACAGAGATTTACGGTGATGCACTCTATCCCAGACAGCCAAAGAATATGATAAAATAGAGCATAATATAGGAGGGCATACCCTGTTAGGAAGCCATAATAGGGAGCCAATGGCAATACGGTGACAGGAAAGAGCTTCAATAGAAACTCAAAAAGGAGTAGTCCCTTTAGCAGTGGTGTCGGCCAATTGAGCGAATTGCACAGCTTGGCAATAGGCATGGACGTTTGGGAGGCCAATCCCACCTCTCGGCTTGTAGGCATATAACATCATTTTGTTCATCCAAGGTCTTCTATTGCCCCAAATAAAGCAGAGAACTTCAGCCTGTAAATGTTGTAACTCACCTAGATAAGGAGTAATCTAGAACCAAGATAAGGAGTAATCTGCTTAGTGTAGAAATCATCTCTAAGTTTTTTAAGTCTGCTTGATAGAGAGAACTGATAGAAGTGGGTAACTGGATCCCTAGATATGGTATGGAGTCGTGTGCTCATTGAACATTGTAAGTATTCCAGAGAGCTTGTTCCACTGAAGAGGGTAAAGAAACATTAAGAGCTGTCATTTTTTGAGAATTTAGGATGGCCCAGAAAGGTGAGAGAACTGGCGTAAAAGAGACAGTAGATTAGGTATGGTAATTTGAGATGCAGTGATATACTGTACATAAGAACTTCATCAGCAAATAGAGCACATTTATGTTCCTGTTACCCACAACAGACACCATGGATATTGGGGTGGGAACGAATTGCCATAGCTAAAGGTTCAACCGCCAGTGCGAAAAGCAGTGGAGAAAGTGGATAGCCCTGTCTAATGCAAAAGACAGTTTTTTGGCATGATCAGTCATATTTTCAATAATAATGCCAAAATTTCACAATTTCTGCCAGGGTATGCAAGCTTTGAGCACCACTGTAACTCCTATTTCTGCTATTCTGTTTGTAAATTAAAATCCTGCTGTTTGTCCAACTTCCATATCAGGCTAACCCCACCTTGTGCATTCCACATCTACTCTTTCTGTTTCATCTCTGAGCAACTGTATTGGCTATATTTTCTACTGACTCTGTGTCATCTTCATCACTCTTACTGCTCCATTTTACACCCAATCATTCTGATCTATGCTCTATTCTCCTCCAACCTTGTATGCTCCATATTGCACCAACTCTGTTGGGTCCATCTTCTACCAACTCAATCTGCTTCTTTAACCTCCAGTGTTGTCTGCTCCATCTTCTACCTACTATGTTTGCTCCATCTTCTACTCCCTCTATTGGCTCCATCTTCTTCTGTTTCTGCCTGCCTCATTGTCTGCCAATTCTATGGGCTCCATATTTCTCCTCTACTGGAGGCTCCATCATCAACACTGTCTATTCCATTATCCACCTACTTTGTTAGCTTCATCTTCTGTTCACTTTGTTCAGGCAATGCTCATAAGCTACAAATTACCTCCCCGGAGAATCCTCCCATCCACTGCCCTGCCTATGATGAATCACTTGCAACATCATGGGTGTTTTAAGCACAGAGGAATTAACAAAGGGTGTCTGAGACAAACGTTGCCTCAGCTGGAACACAGTTAGCTTTTATACTTTTGTACTTGTTTCAGACACTTAATTCTGCCTACAGTGTCAGAGAATTGTGATACTGCTACGTGCCTATGCATTTTAATTATGCACCATTGCGTAGTCTAGAAATGTATGTGAACATTGTACATGTACTTATAGATCTGTATATTTCTCACAAATAGCTTTTTATTTCAATCCAATTTATAAAAAGAAAGTAATCACACTTTTACAATGGATTTGATTGCATTATAAAACATATATATTAATTTATCTCCTTTTATGAAAACTAGACTATATCATTATTATTTCTAATATGTGTTTCACTCATTTATTTTAAAGGATTTTCTGTTTTCCATTTTCTGCAATATTGGGTTAGAAAAACCTAAATATTTTTACTTTTGTCCTTTTTCAGACTTGCGGAACTATGATAGCAACTGGTGGAGTTATAACAGGACTGGCAGCCTTAAAAAGGCAAGATTCAGCCAGATCCCATCACCTCCTTTCCCGACCTACATCTCCACCACCTGAGAAAAAGCCTGTAAGACGTCGTCCAAGAGCAGATGTAGTGATCGTCAGAGGGAAGATTCGACTTTACTCTCCTTCTGGATTCTTCTTAATTTTGGGGGTCTTGATTTCTGTGGCAGGAATTGCAATGGCAGTGCTTGGTTACTGGCCTCAAAAAGACACATTTTTAACACCAGAGCTTGCTTTAGAAGTTAATAAAACAGAAATACTTCGAGAAACTGGGATGATGGTAAGATTTTTTGAGCAGCATCTGCATTCTGAGAAAATGAAAATGTTGGGTCCTTTCACAATGGGTATTGGAATATTTATCTTTATTTGTGCTAATGCTATACTTCATGAAAATCGTGATAAGGAGACAAAGGTTATTCATATGAGGGATATATATTCAACTGTTATAGACATTCATAGCATGAGGATCAAAGAACAGAAACATCTAAATGGAGGCTTTTTCAGGCTTTTATGGAGAAGCTGAGTTCCGTCATTCTGACAATCCTTGTGCATCCAAATTGGCCGCCAATACTATTGCATCTTTTCCTGGAAGCTACAGGAGTTGCAGCTCTATTGATGATGAAGACAGCTTTCCCAGGGAGAGCAAAGGTTTCACTAATCTTCTGCCTCCGCTTCTTATGGAACGATCAGGCTCAGTGTTTGGCCTTCATAGTCATTCTAACAGGAGTGGAGATGATAAAAATAGCAGCTCAAAAAAAATGTGAAACTAAGTCCATAGTGTCATCTTCAATCAATGCTTTCACACTGCCCGTAATAAAACTGAATAACTGTGTCATTGATGAGCCTGATATAGATAACATTACAGAAGACTCAGAAACCAGCAGTAGCAGGCCGAGAAAAAGTATCAATGGATTCATTAGCATTACCTATACCAGATGATGGAAACAAACAATATAAACCTCCCAATACACCTTTATCACGTAGCTTCTCTATTATGGAACCACTCAGAAGTGACTCTTCTTTAGCTCCTGCACAAAATAATGGTAAGCTTTTATCTCCAGGTGCTGCTCCAAAACAATTTGGATCCAACACTTCTTTGCATATTTTATCTTCACATTCTAAATCTTTAGACTTAGACAGAGGTCCTTCTACACTTACAGTTCAAGCTGAACAAAGAAAGCATCCAAGTTGGCCAAGGCTTGACCGCAGTAACAGCAAGGGGTACATGAAACTTGAGAACAAAGAAGATCCAATGGACAGGTTGATTGTACCCCAGGTCCCTCCAGCAAAAAAAACTTCAAAAGACTTCACTAATAAGGAAAAACTGCTCATGATATCAAGATCACACAATAACTTAAGTTTTGAACATGATGAGTTTTTAAGTAATAACCTTAAGAGGGGTACATCAGAAACAAGATTCTAATATTTAACTAAAAACTTGTAACTCCCATATAAAATATAATTTGGATGTGTTGATTTACTGTATATACATATATATATATATATATATATATATATATATATATATATATATATACAGTATAGAGCTAATGGTACTTGTTTATGTTCTCAGGCCTGTAGCAGGAAATTCTCAATAGCATATATGATTTCATCCGATGATAATTCCAATGTTGTGTTCACAGCTCTGTGAATGACAGATTACCAAGCATCATTAGTGGATTATTGGTTTGATTTACCCTAATCATTTTGGCTAAGCTTGCAGACAGACATACCTGAGCCAGCCTTATCCAGGGGAAACAATTGTAATTGTTTATAAAATTCATTTAGAATAATTGATCTTATTCCAGAAACTGACTGGCCAGTGGCTGAGGTCACAACTTGCCCCACAGACACAAATTAATTTATCTTATGTTGTAAATCAAGCAGCAATCATCTCATACCTATGGATAGTTGAAGCATCTAGCATTTTAAGGAGCAGTCATTCCTTATGAAATTATTGATGATGCTGTGAACAGTACAGCTGTAAAGAGACAATGGGAGAACATTTATTTGCCATTATATTCTTTGTAAAATGTAAGTGCCATTAGAATAACTCCTCCCACCTCCTCCCACTCCTATTGGCCCATCATTGTGATGTATTAGAGACCTGTATAAAAATGCAATTGTTCTACAGACCACGTCCCTTAAAAGAAAACACTCATGCAAGAATCTAAACATTCAAATTATCATAAATGCATAGCCTTAAATATAAAATAGTTAGATCTGACACAATGAAACATAGGTGACATAAAAACAAAGTGACTTAAAAGGTTGACTGTTGCTATTTTTCTCCCTGACTTTATGCTGATAGCATGTTGTCTCCTGAGTGTGCAGGCCAGTGTTACATACCATAACTCAATATAACATAGGGTTAGAAATGTTGAGAACTAAAAGAGTTTGCATTTTATACTGTTAAAGCTGCATAGGAACTTCAAAACACCACAGCAGGAGTTAATAAAAGTGTCTAAGACAAACTTTGTCTCAACCGGATTGCATTCAATCAGCTTTTGCATTTTAATTTTCTAAACTGTGTAGAAAAAAAATTAAAGATAGAAGCTAATTAGTTGCTACGGACTATTGAACTAGTTAAGATTAAACTTGCTTCTGACACTTTTTATTAATTTTCCTGAAAGTGTTATTACCAGGAGTTCAGCCAGTTGATGGGACAGTCAGAATTCACAGGGCTTCTCACTTCTGATACGTAGCTCCTCCAGAGTCATCCTCCGGCTAAATAAGTAAAGCTAAATAAAGGGATACTGTAAATATATATCTTTCAGCCTTCAGATTTATAATAAGACTAAATATTTAGATTTTACATAACTGGCTCACTTTAACCCAAAATAAGGATCCTCCTTAACTAATGATACTGACTTTAAATTTGGTTCATTGCTATGGCTTATTGTACTTTGCTCTTCATCATTAGCCTTTGTGCTTTCTAGCTATTTGGACAGTTTATGGTGTAAGGCTTATCAGCAGAAGAAACCAGTTTGAGCAGATTATGTTCTTACTGATTTTTGGATATCTTTAAATATTGTTGGATCTAGCCTGCCACCCATATTTACTGTTTTTTTTGTAAGATTCAAAAGAACAAGAGTCTATTCTTTTTTAATAATGGATACCAGTCTGGTAGTAGACCTAAGCCACCTATATATGGTTTGGATCTTGGCCTGTTCAGCAGGGACCCGGCCGAGATTTGAACCATCTATGGGCAGGCTGATTGTACCCAATTCAATTATTGCACGACTTAGGCGCAACCAGCATGTTGGATTTTTCATGTGATTATTGCCAACGGCTATGGCCACTAGCAGTTATCACTGTGTTCAGGGGATCTTGTGATTTTCTTTCTTGCAAGAAAGAAAATTGCATCGTCTATGGCCTGCCATAGATGGTATCATCCAATATGCATAGTAGACAATTGATGCTACTATCCAATATGTCGATATCAGCACAGGAGTGTTTTTTGTTGGGATGGCTATGGGTAACTTTGCTGACCTCGGGGGGGGGGGGGGGTACAATCTGGTTACTCTTTCCTGTCTTGTTGATTCTTAAAACCCATACCAAGATATGTATTTTGTTAAAATATAACATACCACCATGATTTTAAGAGTTATTCTTAATAATACTCCCTTCTCACGCAAGCACTTTTTTACAAGGAGTTAAAACATAATCTTAAAGCAATTTGCCCCTATGTCACCTGTCACATGTTCCATTCAGGCTAAAGTGATATTTCTCAAGAAGAGACAAACAAGACAAATGCACATCCATCTCTGTGGTTGTGTTACACTTGCAATTGTCCAGCATTTATGAATTTAATAAGCTATTTATAGATGCAAAAACAAAAATTCTTATGATTTACATAAGGTTAAGAAATGTGCAACAGCTTTATGTCCCAAGTCATTTCCACTGTGTTAAAGCCTACTTACAGTGAATTAGATATGTCCCTTGTGCAGCTGGCTGAGGTTTTAGCTGAAATCCTTTGATCCCCCCTATCCCTGCAACAGTAATCTTCTGGTATTGCAGGATTAATACAATCTGAGGGACCTGTCATATGCACTTGTTAAGAGTGACAATAATGTCTGGCCTTTCTGTCTACCTCCTCCATTCATAGAAGCTTTACTATAGCTTCCTTGGATGAAAAACGCTCTATGAATGGAGGACCAGAAGATGAATGAAAGGTCCACCTCCATTCATTAACAGATTGCATTTCATTCATGGGAGATGTAGTAGAGTGTCTATAAGTGGTGGAGGGGTGGAATGGATAGGCATAGTCTGCACAGTTGATAAGTGCATTTAACATGCTCAGCTCCTATTAACCCCCTCAGTGCCAGCAGAATATGGCTGCAGTTATGGGGGGGAGGGGGAAGGGGGGGTAAGAGGACTAAACCTTTAGACAGTAGCACAAAAGACACTTCATTGTTCTAATAAAAGAAAAAAAAGGTTTTGACCAAACGTAGACTTCAAATATGAAGATTTTGTGAAAAAGCAAGTTATTTTTTTCAACAAAGAGGACATTTGTTATATTTGAATACATATAATTTCAATTCCATTTGTTGTTTAAGGAACACATTAAAACAATTGTGAAGTAACCCATGTCCTATTTATAACTTTAACCTTAAAGAGTATGTATTGCCAAAACCTTTTTGAAATTTTGGATAGAGTAGGGAAGTGTAGTACATCTAATACATCTGCCATTTTTTTTTTATAATATCTGTGTACCGTTTGAGAACTTTCCTTTCATTTTCTGTCCCAGGGATACAGCAGAAAGTTAGATAACATCTCTCAAATTAATTGAGAGGAATTTCTCTCTTGGAATGCTCTTCCCAGAATAGGTTGTCCCCTATGGAAGATTTCCTTTTGTTCTAGGGACAACCCTCTATTATCTTTTTCAGTGACAATGGCCACCAATTCAAAAAGAATGGTAAATCTTACCAATGGGGACATAAACTAAAATAAAAACCTGACAGAGGGTCCAACCTTTCCCCACACTATCCAAAATAAAATAAAAAAAGGTTTTGTCTAGATATATACTTGTACCCCTAGCCCCTGTACTTGGACAAAAGGGGAAAGTACACAAACAACTTCTCCAACGCTCAAAATCAAAGTCAGTGGACTGGAATATATAGTAGAGATAGTATTCCTCTGGGTTAGTGTTTAGGCGGTGCAGCCTTCCTCAGACGGGAATCCAAACACAAACTGAAAGAGAACACACAGTGGGTGCAAACACCTAGCGCATTACCCAAGACTTATTGGAAGAAATCAATAAAAGCCAAATGCTTACTCACAAACAAAAAAGTAAAAAGCCTGACATGAATGATTGATGGTCAACCAGCGTAGTGGGTT